GTTTTATATAATACAATCGAACCATTTAATCATTTCTACCTTTTGTATATGATATGTGTATGTATGTACACACCGGGTGGGGTATTTCAAACAGGCCATTCAAGTAACTCGATTATTATTGGCGATAGAAAAAAGGGTCGGGTTAAAGTTACTTGATTTCTAAGCTAACCTAATTCTATATTAATAATTTTTTTAAATGTAATAATATTTTTTTCAATATACCATAGAATAGGGCATTTTAAGACGCGTACAGTGATAACCACGTTATGATGTTTCAATTATTATCCTTTATTTATTTTCTTTTTTATATAAACAATATAAACGTAACGTGTAACACAGTACGTAACATGAAATTCTGCTACTTTTGAAAGTATGTGTAAAGTATCGTCTAATAAATCATTTTCTATTATCAATAGCTATCGAGTTATTCAAATGGGCTTTATAAAATGTTTCACCCGTTATATGTAATATGTATACACATAGAGAGAATTCTATTCTCTGGTCGTCTTTGAAAGGACGTTTGGATCTAACTCAAAGCTTTAGAGAAGAGAAATACACGGTAGACGTTTAATACTCGATGATATTCGATATTCCTCTTGCGATGCTCTCGTCATTATCGGTATGTAGGTCGGATTTCCTTTGATATCGCGTTACCATTCAGACATTTTAATCTCTATCGTCTCGTTCGATTTACATGATAGGGTTAGATATCTAGTCGTTCTTTTAGCAAAAAATTCATATCGACTAGGAGATATTCACTCTAGAAGATAAGGTTAGGATCGTAAGGGGGCCCGCCAGGGAATAAGCAAGAAACGTTTGAAATATCGTTCCTCTTGATTTACTCTCATCCGGAAACGTGAGATGATGCAAAACGAAGGAAGGTGCAAGCCAAAAGTGTGTGCGAGAGAGAAGGAAAGAGGCCTTTTTTAGTCGAGAGCACCCACTCTTCTTACATCCTTCGCGAATCTAGTGTAATGGGCAAAAAATTGTACTTCATGGCGGCAAGGTCTAATGAGATTTTGAATTATGTTGTAGTTATACCGGAGAAGCATAACTTCCACTCCCTTTTACTTCCTCTTCCCTTGGCTTTGCTCGATCTATCTACGTCCGCCTTTACTCTTTTCTATCTTCCATCTCCTTCTCTCTCCCTCTTTCTCTCCCTCTCTTTCCCCCTCTCTTTCTTCCTCTCTTTTCCTCTACTTCCCTAAAACCTTTCCCAGAAAACTCAGTCGAAGCTATGTGTGACTAGATTACAGGCGAGCTTCTTAAAGCGATCAGGATTTTACCAAGGATTCTCTACCTAGATAAGAGACGAAAGATGAACAAAAAAGATAAAATAAAAGAAATAAAATAAAAGTAAAGAATTCGTTTTTCGTAAAAATTGTTCTTCCCCTATCTCTGAATTTCGCGTGCTCAGCAAAGAGTTTTCACACACATTGCCGTTTCTTCTTCATGAGCTACGACGAGATCGAACTGTAATGTATGCATTTATATATGTATGTGTGTATGCATGTATACACGTACTTACTTACAACGAACGTGCGATACAATTCTAACAGGATTGTGCGCGAAAGATGGAACGAAGTGAGCGTGTGTCTGAATCGACGACCGTCAGATGGAATTCGAAATTCTTACTGACATGGCAAGGAAGGAAGCAGGTATATATATATACACACACACTTGCAAGCGATCCCGATGACACGTGGGAAATCACGGGCTTACCATTTCCATATATCTCACTGTCCTGGTGATCGTTCAACGAATTCTATGAATCTTTCTTTCAATTTTTTTTTTCTATTTGATCATCGTTTTACCCACTTACGTTTCTACTTACGATTTCTAATAATTCTCTTGAGTAATAAAATCATGTTAAGTGTAATAATGGTTATCGATTAAATATGACCTAAAACTCTGATATATAGAAAAGTTGAAGATACACTTTTAGATATAAAATACAAGCCATGATACGTGAAGGAATTTCTACAATAAAGACCGACATGAATAAAACGAATGTTGAATTATTCTTGTGTTCCCTACGACAAGAGACTCGAGACTATCGCGAAAAGTGAAAAAGTCGGGGAAAGCGTTTATATGAGAAAATTCTTTATGCTGCAAGAACAATGCTCCGGCACTTCGCCGCACCCGGTATGCATACACAAATTTATGTTTCTACCCCTATCCCCTCCTCCTCCTCCACCGACCTTCCATTTTTTCTTATCCTTCTCTTTCCTATTATTTTTTGTTCTTACGTCCTTTTTCTTTCTTTGCAACACTCGGTTTCTTTTTTTCTTATATTTTAGATATTGTATTTTTAGGTTTGTTCCTTGCCCTTTGTTTTTATTTATTTTTTTGTTCTCTCCACTTTTCCTCCTCCTCTTCCTTTTCCTTGTCCTCTTCGCGGAAGAGAGAAACTTGTCGGGAGTATTAAACTGTAACATAACTGTAGTATTTATGCCAGCGCACGGAACAACGAAATCTGATTAAAGTTTCAAATTCCAAGCGACGCTGCGGGAAGGCGAACTGGCCTCCGTGGCCGTGTGGAAGTGACGCGCGGAAAATCATGCTAGCAATCTCCCTTTACATTTTCCTGTCATGGTCATTACACTGGAATTCGTGGAATCCTTCTCTTACTCACATTTCTTTTCCTCTTTCTACCCTTCTTATCCATTTACTAACTCACTTTCTCTCTTTAGTGAGTTACATTCGATTCCTATGAAATCTGGGTCATCCGAAACGCTTGTTACTATTATACTAATCGATATCACATACAAATTATAGAATGATTAAAGTTAAAAAAGATTGATTTTAATACATTCAACAAATTACTACAAGTTTCTTCTACCAAGAGAATTATTATCATTTTAATAATACACCATAATGAAAAATATAAAGGAGAAGGAAAGAAAAACAAACGTGTTCTGCATAGAATCGTTAATAAAGGCCAGAGTCTAACTAGTTAGCACATTATAGTGGCACTTTAAAACAGGTGACGCACTACAGAAATATGTGTACATCCATATAATACATTATTTTAGCTTAATCTTAAAGAACCCAACTTTTTTATTTTTTTATTCCAAACTATCCTTTTTCAAAGATATCATTTTTCTTTCGGCATTACCTTTGAGATCCAACCAAACGAAAAGATAGAATTTTATCTCTCGGGTTTAAATAAGTATAAGTAAAATTCGTAGATAATACGTGATCAAAAATTAAAATATTTCTCGAAAAAAGGAAGACTCTCTCCTTCTTCCTCTTTCTTTTGACGATGTAGTTGGCACGACTAGGCGGATGTAGGAAAGCGAAGCCAAGTGGCCTGAGAATTTAAGGTGGAATAAAATCGCTAAACCTACACGAGATCGTGAGCACGTTTTGTAAAGCATAGTCGAACGGGTGTTATGTCTTCTTGCGGGAGACCCATGCATACTATAACAGACACTAGCAGGGATCGTTCTTGCACATTTTGCCCATCGTTTCGTACGTGGCACACAATTTTTGGCCCCTACCGACGACTCCGAACCTAGAATAACCAACACACTGATGCTTCACTACGTGAAAATTCTACGAGTCTGTCTGTGTATAAATATATCTGTGTGTGTGTGTGTATCACACACGTCGGTCCCAAGCCACAGTCCTTCTAGTCTAGTCGAATAATTTTCAAGAATCGTTGCCTCGCCGATTTTCTACGTCTTTTTGCCACCCCTTTCCATTTCCCAGGTCGTACCACCCGCCTTTTCATGGGCTTTGCTCCTCAGCCAAATGCCGCTCCTTCTGCATACAGAACCACGAATATCGATACTATGAATTTTCACTCATCTTTCTCTATCTATTTTTCTATTTATTTTATTTGCTTTTTTTTTATTTTTTTTCAATTTAAAGTAACTGACTCAGGTCAAAGAACAACGAAATAAGGTTATATCTATTAATTTTATTAAAATTAAATTTACCAATTTTCAACTTAAACCTTTTTTAATTAATATTTGATAGAAACACGTTAAACAACTTTAATTCGAGACCATTTTGTAGATTTTTTTCAAAAGATATTTTAAACTTGGATTCTCGGTTGAATGTTTTTTTATAATCACAACGATGCGAAGGAAGAACAAATTTTGTCTACTTTTTCATACAGCTTTTTGTATAAATGTTCTGTATGTGTCTGCTTAAAGAGAGAGATAGAAAGAGAGAGAGAGAGAGAGAGAGAGAAAGAGAGAGAGAGAAAGAGAGAGAAAGAGAGAGTGAAAGAGAGAAAAGCGTAGCAGTTTGTAAAACGTGGGAGTTTTACCATCGGTTTACCGCGTCCAAAATCGTATCTCTGGCTAAAACTCGTCCCATCGTTGTTCTTTATTTACCAAACGGAATTCGACGATGAACGTCGAACGATACCACACATATATTGCATCGAATTTTTAAACGGCTAAAACCTTTTTGCCCCTTTGTTTTTCAAAAAACACTGTTTGAAAAATGGATTGTCAAAAATATAATAAAAATGTATTCATAAATCATTTCGATGTAAAACATAAATTACGTCAATTGTAATACACAAAAATAGATTAATAATAATAATAATTATTATTATTGTTATTATGGTTATATTATTATGCGCGAGATAGTCAAAAGTTCATTGTCTTTCAAATTTACTTTTCTCTATCTCTCTCTTTTTCTCTTTTAATCTTAAAACATTTGCACTAGTGAATCTAAGCGCTCGACGTAATATACAAAGATACAGAGAGATGTTTATTCGAAATATAGCATCCTTTTCTCGTAATTATCTTGCTACATTTTCCTACTTGGAGAATACTCGTAATGGTGGCAGTACTTTGCGAAATATGAGAAGTATACGAGTCGAAAGGGAAAATTACACCGGGTAAACAAATTTACTCCTTCGTTTGGTTTATACTCTCATATTTACTAAATACGACTTTTAATTCATGAATCTTCGTCTCTTTTCCAAAAATTTCTTAATATCCGATACGATTATTATAAAACATTTATCGATATTTCAGACGTGACAATAACCGCGACGAAGAAGGCGTGAGTTGTCGAAGAAGGAAAACGAAAAGAAAGAAAGAAAGTAAGAAAGAAATAAAGAATAAAAAGAAGGAAAGAAAGAAAAGGAAGGAAGGAAGGAAGGAAGGAAGAAAAGAAGGAAGGAAGGAAGAAAGAAAGAAGAAATAAAAACGAGGACATCGTCTCTCGAGGCTATTTAACGAAGACCCGAAGGTACAAAGGTATGTAAGGGCAGCAGCACACTTTTCCCTTCTAGGTATCTACGTATATGTGAATATACATCCGAAGCACGTAAGTTTAATATCTTCGTGTAGTGCGGCAGGCAAGTGTGCCGGCTCCTGAGAAAGAGGAAGAAAGCAAGATTATTGCTTCAATATTGGCCCGATGTCAGGCGTCGTAGTTACGTCTACGTATCTTCTTCTTACAACCACCCCGAAGACACATACAAACATATACACATAGATGCTTAAAGATAGCACACATGCACTTATCTGTTAGAGAACTCTATAGTACTATCGCGAAGAGAGAGAGAGAGAAAGGAGAGAGAGGGGAAAGTTATCTTTTACGTATCCTTCGATCCAGCCCATTCCAGCCCACATTTACCCAACCCGTGTGCAACCCCACCCACCCTCCTTCGTTCTTCGCCTTAATTCCACGCGTGCACGTGCACGACGTATCCTAAGAGAGAAGCTGCACGTGTGCCACCGTTATTAAGCCGTCTCTTACAGCTTATAAGCCGTGTAAGCTCGCGTCTGCCTTTCGGTCTACCGTTGGAATCAAAAGGCGTGAACTGTGATTAGAATCGGGGAATATAGAAGGAGAGATAAAGTATATGTAAGTATACGTGTAGACATTCGCCTAAATGTGTAAAGGAATATTTGGAGATAGTTTCAAACTTACGTGTATACTAACTTGTGTATTTCATCCCTCTGGGGGTTTCTAGTTTATGAGATTATTATACGCCGATGTTTGGATTAAACTATCATTTTCAGTTTCCCGATTTTTCATTTAAAAAAGAAAAAAGAAGAAAAGAAAAAACATAGTACACGTAAAACCAACGTTCAAAAGTAGACGAGGATAAATCTCAGTCGATCTAGTGTTCACCGGAGAATCTGTTAATTAGGCGTGCTAGAACGATGCCAAGGGAACGAGGACAACGAGGAGGACTCATTGAAAGAACGAACAGGATCGTTGCTCTCTCTCTCTCTCTCTCTCTTTTTCTCTGTTTGAAATTTTCAATCGGTTGGTGAAGTGAAAGACAGAGAAATAGGGGAAGGAGAGTTTGTGGATAGGGCTGGATCGATCGTGGTTGTGAAAATGCATTGATTTAACGGGCTACGAAAAGAGAGAAAGGAAGAGAAGGTGTGGTTCAGAAAGAGGGGAAGAGGAGATGGTATATCGAACGAAATCATGACAAAAAACGTGATTGGATAGATGTTTGGATGGATAGATGGATAGAAGGATGGATGGATAGATGGATAGAAGGATGGATGGATGGATGGATGGATGGTTGGTTGGTTGGTTGGTTGGTTGGTTGGGTGGATGGATGGATGGACGAACATAACGGGAGCGAGTGAGAGAGTAAAGAAAAGAGAGAGAGAGAGAGAGAGAGAGAGAGAGAATGGGAGAGAAGGATGAACGACGTCCTGCGCGCCTCCAGTAATTACGACCGGTACGGCAGAATCATTTGTTTGCGTATTGTTACCGCAAAGCATTGTTGCCCAACGAAACGTTCCACCACCACCACCATAAGCACTATCCTAGAACGAAGCATATTTCGTTGTCCTTGCTCCTCCTTTCGAGTCGAAGATCTTTTTCCTACGGGATCAAAAGTATTGTTTCTTTCATTCCCCTTTTACTCGTTGTTGGTATTTCCTTCCACTATCTTCTCTGATTGTATGTATACACTTTACATGTTTGTTTGATAGAACGAAACTCGATATACTCGAACACGATTTCTCTTTTTCGATAGGTCGAATATCCATGATCATCGAATCTGAAGAAATTCTATTACAGTTCGATATTGCCATGATTTCATACGTACGTTTTCATTTATACACAGAGTAACCTTTATATCAATCGATTCAATAATTTAATATCAAATTTGAATTATATCGTAAATAAGCGTGCAGGGCAAAATTATCGAAGATGTAACTACTTTACACCAACTATCGATATGATTTTTTTCCTTTCTTTCCTTTTTTGAATTGGATAGTTCAACTAGAAGATATCATCGGACGCGAGTTAGCTATCCGGTATCAGCTGACCTATATCGGTCCACGTCGAATATCCGATATCAGCCAATATTTCATAATGGATATCCAATATTTACGATAGCGGACAGACGCCTACGGATACGTGAAATGTAAAAGGCACGCGGGGAGAGAACGAATGAAAGAGGGAGAGAGAGAGAAATGAGACAACAGAAGGAAAGATGAAAAAATTGAAACTAGTGCTTCAGAGAAACTCTCCCCCCCCCCCGAACGATGAGAAACGAATTCCCTTGGCAACCTAGGGCTGCTACATTACGGGTATAGGCGTTGAGATGAAAGGGTGGGAGAAAGGTGAAAGAATTTGAGATAGGTTTTCGCATTGAAATTATCTTCTGTACGGTTCGTTCGGATCGTAGAAAATCATACGCGTTAGAATTGAACCACGAGCACAGTCTAACCATAAATATCTTCCTCTCATTTCATCTCTTGGCTCATTCAACCGCAAGAAGGCGGACGAAAAGGGTGATGCTCTCTACCATGAATAAAAGTTCCCCGGATAAAATTTAGATCTTGCCACAAGCACGTTTCTACAAAAAAAAGTAAAGAGAGAGAGAAAGAGAGAGAGATAGAAAACGAATAAAAAGAAAGAAGGAAAATAAAAAAAAAAGAATTAAAAATAACTGCTTAAAAATCAAATACGAGTAGAATTGGACGAAACGTGCTCGTTAAAAAATATTTCTACGTTATTTAAATAACGAGTGTGTGACGATACCATAAATTAATCGAAATAAAATAATAACGCGAAATATTATTTGAATATAATCAAATGAAGAAATATAAAAAGCTAGGTAATATTCGCGTATTAACATTCTAATGATTTCACTGCAGCTGATACCACTACGCCGAAAATAAAACAAACCGTGACGAGGCTGCCTGAAGAGAAATAAAAAAAAACATTTTTATTTTTCCTCGAAATATTTTCCAATATATTTAGAAAAAGAATTCCATTGAAAAATAACTGGTGCTTCGCGAGGTGAAGTATACTCGTCTCGTCCTCTCTCACACTCTTTTTCTCTCTCTCTCTCTCTCTCTCTCTCTTTTTCTATCTCGTGGTATGTTTTGTTGAAATCCCTGCACATTCTCCAAAGTAGAACACAAAATTATTGCGACAAGGAGATACACCGCACTTTACATGCAAACTAGCACTGGAGTCGTTACAAGGCGTTGCCACGTCTTTTATTTGTTTCGGACGATTCCTGTGCCTGTTGCCAAGCTCTCCCAGAAACAGTCCCGTAAGTGCGCTTACTGGGAATAAAAATTGAATGCGGTTATGTAAAACTAATGCGAATTCATTTGCAATTTTTGCAAACATAGCTTGTTATTCTTATATTTCCCAGAAATATAATATTATTTTATTATACGATTCTTCTCGTCTTCTCTTACAATTATTATTACTAAATTGTATTTCCAATTATACCGAATTATGAATATTATTTTAATATATCTTAAAGTTATGTTTATAGAATTGTTAAAAGAGTTGTTAAATTGAACGATAAGAAAGATCTTTAAGATCTACAGTCTAATTGTAAGATAAGTAGTCTATGTGAGTTCTAGAGAATTAGGACTGAGTGATGTAAGGAATAGAGAAAGAAAATGCGTACATGACGTATGCCTATTAAAGAAAGAGAGGGAACTTTCATATAGAAAAACGTATTTGATACTGAATACAGAGCTTCATCCAGCGCGGAACGAGGCAAGAGAAGTCAAGAATGGGTTTTGTTTATTCAAGCTTTCTCTCTCTCTCTCTTTCTCTCTCTCTCTCTCTTTCTTTCTCTCTCTCTCTCTCTCTCTCTCTCTCTCTCTCTCTCTCTCTCTCTATCTTCGAATACCGAGTTATAACTTCCTAACGAGAGTTCGACGATTTAGCATAATACTTTTTGTTCGCTATATTCTCTGGAACAAGCTCTTGAAGTTTGGCAGCATGCTTGTAAGTCATCCTGTATAATAAATTACCTGAAGCATCGCAGACTCTTCCGCGATGCAACAACATTAAACTTGATCGAGAAATACTATAGGACCAAGATTAACATAAGTTCGTAAGAGAAAGCTTTCATGGCTGAAGCTTATTTAACTTTCTATCGACTGACTCGAGTTTTTCCTCGAACAATACGAACAGGTACATCATTGAAATTGAAATTAGTGAATAATCCTTGTTTATAAAATCAAGGAAAATGTTAGATCGATGCAAATACTCTACTTGTTAAATAAATCATTTTTAAAATTATATAACTTATTTCTCTTCATCAATTTCTCACTTTATTTAACAAAGTACACCATTATAGTACCGGAAGGACGTTTAATTTTAAAAGCTGAACCCTTTCAGTGCTTCCTACTCCGGATATGCACCGATACGAGAACCTCACGAGGATTTACACCTGCATTTCCTACCTCCGTCTACCCCCACCTCTTACCCTTTTCTCCAATCCCAGCTGATCCCTTCTTCTTTGCTTCTTCTCCGTTATTCTACTACTGTCCATGTATAATTCGTATATATTTCTTCACTCTCATTTGGAAAAACTAATCCCGATTTAATACTATTATACCCGTCTAATTAACTATACAAAAAATTAATTAAGAATCATCTTATGTTCTTGAGAAATGACGTAGATATTTATTGGATCGAAAACTGCACGGACTTATTGGTTAATATTAAATATACGAGAACAAACAATTGCCTATATTCTGTCTAAATATTAACCAAAAAATATTGAACTTTGGTTAGCAAATAGATAGAACTGGTGAAAGAATAATTTTGTTCGAGTTTTAACAAATCGATTAATAATCGCTAGAAAAAAGAGAAATCGATTAACGAGACGAGCTTGAAAAGTATACCAATGAAGGAACTTGTACCTTTTAAAAACGTCGACGATCTTTGAACATTTGTTAACCGTCTCACGGCAGACGCTTTAAAAACCATACCATTTGTAACGCCGCAACGGGGTAGGTGT